TTTGTCATTGCTGAGCAGGACTTACACAGAGCTGAGGTTGTTCCTGCTTTTCCTACAGCCACGCTGGTGAGGAAGCTGGGTGTACAGGGGAGGCTGGGGGGAAACACAGCCGGGACAGGTGACCCAAACTGACCAAAGGGATATTCCAAACCATATGCTCATGCTCAATAAATAAAGTTGAGGGAAGAAGGAGGAAGGGGGAGATGGTGTTTGTTTTCCCAAGTAACTGTTTTGTGTGATGGAACCACGTTCCTGCTCTCCTGGAGATGGCTGAACACCTGGATGCCTATTGGAAACAGTGAATTAATTCTTGGTTTTACTTTGCTTGTGTAATTGGCTTTTGCTTTCCTCATTAAATTGTCTCTGTCTCAATCCACAAGTTTTCTGGCTTTTACAGTTCTAATCCTCTCCCTGATGCTGCTGGTGGGGGAGTAGTGAGCAGCTGCCTGGGGCTTGGTTGCTGACAGTGGGTTCAGCCAGGCAGATCCATGTCACTGAAAATATTGTCACATGTCACTGTCACTGAAAGTACATATCATAAAAAATGTGGATCACTTGGCAACTCTGAAGTGCAGTTGTGACTGGTCTGCAGAAAGGGATGAAGAGAGAAATGAGTGATAGGGAAGGCAGATACAAGGTTTAATTTCTCCTGTTTTTTTAAAAAGCCATTGTGATCTGTCACAATAACCCACAAACACCATCAGCCCTTGTGAGCAGCCAGGGAGCTGCCAGTGGGCTGCAAGAGGAGGTCAGCTGCTGACTGAAAGCACTGTGTCAGACCATGATCCAGTGAGAGCCACAGGTTCAACAGAGCAGGTGGTGCATTAAAACCTTTAGAGATTTTAACATGCTGTGGCAGGAGAACTGCCACCACTGGCACTGCAGTGCAGCCTGACAGTGGTAGAAAATTTTATGATTGAAAAAACCCAACAAAAAAGCCCAGAGTGAAGGTCACTGTGCAGACATACAGGTGCAGAGCCAGGGTGGCCAGGCTGGACCCACTGCAGGTACTGATGTTGTAGAAATGGTGTCACAGGAAGAAATTGGAGATACTGCTCCAGAGCACAGACCCTTTTCCTGCAAGTCCAAAATAGATCCTGTCATGGCTGAGCTGCTCTGCTCCTCCTCCTCCTGCTGGGCACAGTAGCAATGGTCTGCAAGGAGCAGGTCATGGAGGGGTGGCTTTCTTGAGGGCATCTCTGACAGCGTGCTTCCACACTGGTGTGTTGCAGGGCAGCAGCTTCCTTTGTTTACTTCAGCCTTTACTTAGCAGCTACCACAGGTGCTTGAACACAGTCCTCAGTCCTCCACAGACCACTGGTATGCAGGGATTAGTGAGCAGGGCCAAACCCACGTGCTTGCCTGGGAAGGTGCAGGGATTTGTAAAGGACCTGGTGGAGGCATCCCCCTCAGTTTTTGCCCAAAGCTGGTACACCTGTATTCAGTCATGGCTCCGTGTTTCCAGACCTGGGAATCGGCAGCAGAGGGATTAAAAGCAGCATGTTTAGCTGTGAAAGAACATCCTCACCCTACACCAGTGTGGTGGCTGCAGCATGTCCCATCACAGCTGGCAACTGTGGAAGCCAGCTGCATGAGCTGCCTGCTGTGCATGTGTGTGTGCAGACATCAAGGGTTGCACAGACATCAAAGCAGCCCCTTACATGCACTCCTGGAGTCCAGCACACAACCCAACTCCCCCACCTTGAACCCCTTTAAGGCTGGGCTCCTTTTGCCAAGGAATTAATTTTATCTCAGGACACATGGAACAGCTCAGGGTGGCTCTGCCATTGCCCAGTGCTGGTTGGAACCAGGGGGAATTCACCACACCACAGTTAAAAAAAACCAAAAAACCCCAAACCTGTGGTTTTTGGGATAAGCTGGTGCAGGGTGGCATTGCAAAGTAGCCACAGGTTGCAGCTGTGGTGGTGCACACATTCCTGGTGCTGCCACTCTGCATGGGAAGGTGGTGAGGGCTTTGTTCCAGCAGTATCTCAACATGAACCTTTACAGACTCATGGTCAGCACATACAGATTCCACAGGTAAAAGCTAACAGTGCAAATCAGCTCTGGTTGCAAAAAATGGGCACTGAGGCTGGGGGGTGAAGGGTGCTGCACTGGGCAGTGCAGTACAAAGCCTGGCAGCATTGGTTTGCAGAAGGGCCATGGCTGATGTTGTGTCCCATGTGGGATCCCACAGGTAAGTGGACATCGGGAGAGTTAATGATGTGGTCATCATTATCAGTGTATGCATTAAAGGATGCATTTCCCATATGAGAATAAAGACAGAAGCATTCTTTCAGAGCAAACTCTGGGCAGCAAACCCTCATTTTCCACACTTTATAGGATCCTGCCCATGCAGGACTCCAGCCATCCCAGGTGTGCTCCCACCACGTGATGCAGAGAGGTAGGGAACCCATGTTTGGCTGTGGCAGCCTGTGCTCTCAAACCTCAGAAACATATGTGTTCCTCTTACTGAAAAAGTGATGTAGCTGACAGATACTTCCCTAAAGAGGCAGACCTGGTAGCCCCCATGCCCCTGTCATTCCCAGCTAGGCATGCTGGCAGCTGAGTTAGTGTGCTGTGGCTCAAGCTGCTGCAGGAGGTTTTGCCATCTGGGAATGCCATGCAGTGATGATGAATGGCATCTCACCTTGAGGTGAGTGAATCATGGCAGGGCCCAGGGTTTATTTTGCTACACCTCTTGTCCCTGAAAGTAGCAACTTACTGACTGAGAGCAAATGCCAGAAATAAGCTTGGCTTACTGGCCTGTGTGCTCCAGGGATGGTTTAGGGGAGCTGGTTTTATCCTGGGACTCTCTAGATGCTTGGAGGTGTCCTGTGGAGCCTTATCTTTCAAAAAATTCAGTAGCTCTACCCTGGATCAGGCCTTCCATTGTCCTTAGGCATGGGAGGGAACCCTCATGCCCCTGCCTAGTAGCCTCCTGGAGACTTCCTGGTAGATGGGAGTCCTTTGAGGCACCCAACAGTGAATTCCTTTGGGATCCTTTTGGGAGAGGGATGTCACACAGACACCCAATGGCACAAATGCCTCTCACCATGGAATCCTGATCTGAGCATTACCCAGGCCTGGGCTGAGCACAGGTCTAACAGCAACAGCGGCACCCGGTGATGTCTGCTCTTCTTCTCATCTTCAAAGCATTAGCTGCTGGGAATTAATCCTCATACCAGGCAGGCAAGTCTCATGACTCTCGCTCCACAGAGAGGCAGAGTAAATGATGTGATGAAGGGTGAATCAGGTCACAGCTGCGATGAAATCACAGCAGTTCCTGCCTGCCCATCCCGTGACCATTAGACCTTATGTACTCATCCAGGAGGTAGCTGGCATGCAAGGATGTGCAGAAGCCAGCTTCTCCTCTCCAGGCAAGTTGCACAGCCTGCAGGGAGGTGCTGGGCCATGACTCACCTTGGAAAGCAGGTTCCAGTGTTAGATGAGGTCGAGGAGTCGCTGGGTGCATCCTCCAGTGACTCACTGCAAGGGTCTGGCAGTACAAGGGCACCCAGTCAAGGATGCTGAAGGGCTGAGGGAGACAGCTCTGGGCAAGGTCAGAATGCCAAACTTTTTCTTTGTTGCCTTTGAAAGTCTGAGCTTAAAATTTTAACTCTCGGGGTGAGATCTAGGCTGCTGATATTGGGGTGAGAGGGCCATTTGTGTTAGTCACTACTGGGAACTTAAGCCAGGACACTGGCCCCAAGGACAGCCCGCTGCTGCTGTACCTTGAGTGGGTTACCTGATCTCAGGGGGAGAAGCCTGCTCCACACTGAAATGGGAGCAGTGCTGAGCAGCAGCTCCTTGGGAACCAGAAGGAGAAGAATACAGTTTCCTGGGCAAATACCTGTAAGAGGTTTTGGTGTGAAAATAAAAAACATTTAGGAGAAGTAAAATGAAGCAAATGCTTCTCTGAATCTCAGTTCACAGAAATGTACCCCTAAACACAAGGTGATGTGCTTAGGACAGACAATAGAGAGGAGAAAGCCACAATAGTACTGGCAGCTCCCCATGCACAAAAGACAAACAGTGGGGTGTTGTCTGAGAGCCAACTTCTCTGTTTGTTGGATGCAACGGGCCAGCCCATCCTCCCTCTTCCTCGTGCTGTAGGTAGATCTGAAGGAGGCAGGAGGCTGGCAGCAAATTAATGTCAGCAAACCAACTGAGAAGAGGAGCAGCCCGAGGCACTTGTATCTTGTCAAATTGGAAGTATATCTGGGCATTATTCCTTTCTTATAGTAAACTGTGCATGATGTAGCTGACAACAGGCTTTGGGATATGACTTCATAGAAAATATATATTTTTCCATGTGAAAGAGTGTCTCCACCCCCTGCTCACTGCATTAAGCCCAGAATTTTGCAGTCAGGAGCTGTTAGTACTGGACATTCAGTTCTACAATGCAGGGGATATGGAGTACAGAGCTCCAGTGGGCAAGAGGCCAGCGGCGTCTGAACCGGCTGTGGCAACAGTGCTGCAGGATGCAGGTTTCCCTGTGGGACAGCAACAAACCAAGCCAAGAGCTGGATCAGCATCAGGGCCTCCCCAAGGTCCACAGCAGTGTGTGCTGCGCTGCCAGTGCTGGGGAAAGCAGAAGGCACTGAAAGGCACTAAACTTGAGGGTATCACACCTGCAAAGAACAAGTCAGCAGTGGGGTTGGCTTGGCCTGGCTTTGTAGTGCAGGTGAGGGTTGATCTCCTAGAATACACAAAGTAATTATCCTGGGGACATCAAGCAGTGGCCATGCCATCTCTTCTGTCCTCTCTGTGGCAGATCAGGGCTGTGGCTCTTACAATAAGTCTGAAGTTTGTTCTTGGTGCTGCAGTGCTTTCTGTGGCTTTTGTGGCCCCTGTGTAACAGGCATTGCTGCCTGGTTGCCCACAGCCTCAGTGCACCCCATTTGGTGACCCAAATTCTCAATTTTTTACCCCAACCGCTGGGCTATTCTCTGGATGCCTGTTGCAGGGATGTGGTTAATGTCAAGTACTCCCTTTTGCAGCCTTGTTGCGTCTTCATTTTTCTGTCTCTTAAAGTGATTCGGAGCCTTCTGAGGTGGAAAGATGGTGCAAACCAAGGGCAAGTCTGCTACAGAGGACAGATGTCCCTGGAAGGGAAGGTAGGAACACAGATGGAGGGAATGGAGTGTGAAATTTCCACCCTTCTGTCCCTCCAGCAGCTTGCAGAAGCAGCTGTTTCCATCGTGTGAAGAGGCATCCCTGGGCAGGGCAGTTTCTGAAGGTGAGAGGGGGCCCCAGGCGAGGCCTGGGAAGGTGCCAGGGCATTACAGCCCTGCCCATCAGGCACGCTGCCTGCTCCAGGCCTCCATTCAACATGATGAGGGACAAAATCCAAAGGTAACCCCTTGCTGTTAGACCACACAGCACATTTACCCTCCCTCACAGGCTCTGAAAAGAGCTGTTTCTCTCACTGTGCAAGTGCACATTTCATGGTCATGCTACAGAAAATGGTGTGGGCGAAGCAGCCTAAGAAGCTGTTCCTGTCTGGCTTTGAAGGTGCCCCTTAGCTGACCCTCTTGTCCCTTAGATGTTTCTGACCCAGAACTACCTGTTTTACAGAACAGCTCATTTTCCATGTGTGAGAAGCTTTTCCATGAAAGCCAGAGCTTAACTGCTCAGTCTCAATGAAGACCCCACAGGAGTTTCTCTGGATGCTCACCTCCATTTTTGCAGACAGTTCCAGTCTGGGTTGCTCTACAGTTTGCTTGCCTCAACACCACCCAGGCAGTGTCAGTGGGACACAGTGAGCATCCCTGCCTGAGAGAGGAGCTCTGTGTAAAGCTGCTCTGGGGTAGCTGCATCTCATGGGTGGCCAGTGCCCAGTGCAGCCTCAGGAGCTGGTTGCAAGGGGCAGCAGGGTGATTTGCTGTGTAAAAACCCCTGTGGAGAGAGGAGCGTGGTTATTAGAGAGTTCCGATCCTCCACCCTGTTGGTAGGATACACAACTTTTCCTAAACACAGCCTGTCCAGCCGCATTCCTGAAGCACACATTCCTTGCCAGTGAAGCTCACCCAGAGTGTGTCCAGGAATAGCACTGCAGCTTCATGTGGGACCTCTCCCAAATACATCTTTAATTGAATGGGGCCATTTGGCCCACGTGCTTGAACTCAGACCAGGACCAGTATTGTAATTACTGGTCTTCTTGCCATTTCCTACCCAAGGCCATCTATTCTTTATCTCTCACATCTATGACTTATAAGCACCACTATTTCAGCTTTGTTTTCTGTATCACTGCCCTCTTTTGGGCTGCCCCTTGGGGCAGCATGGGTGCCAGTGGCCAGGGACACTGGTGGAGTCACCTTCTTGAGTTAGTACAGTTAAGGACTGTTGTTGTGCAGCCAGAGGTACTAATTTCTGTCTCTGAAGCCACATAGCTGAGATTCAGCTGGCTGTTCGTAGCCACAAAGAATGCTTTGCTGGAAGGAGAGTTGCTGGCTTTCTGATTTTTATCGTAAGCCTTGTGATAGCTGGCTTTTTCTTGACAGCACCAATATCTGGAGCATAGTTTTGGGGTGAGAAGCTCAGCTTTCAGTTTAAGTCCAGAATGCACATTTGGAACTCTGACAATTGCAGAGAAGATACAAAGTAACTTCCAAGCATGCCCCCATGACTCAGAAAATGCAAATTACCCCGTATTTTGATTAAGAAGACAATGAAGAAGGAATATTATGTTTTTTAAGGCTGCACGGTGATCCTAGAGTATTTGGCACTGGCAATCTCAGGAAAAGATGCCAGTCTATCAGGACTTTTTGTTATGGAGAAGTTCTGGCATAATTTTGAGAACCAGGATTTAGGTGTCCTGGAACAGGTGACAAACTCTTCCTTTCACTACCAGGCCATGCTTAGAAGGGCACGGCTGCTCTGTGGGCCACCTCTCATGCCCAGGACCTTTCAGAGGAGCCAGCAGAAGGCCTCATACTAGGCTGGGTCCTTTCCCTTGCTCTGCTTATCACTGCCCACCAGCAACCTTAATGCCAGCACTCTTAATCTGAATATATACAAGTAAGACATTTTTGTAATACTTTTCTTTTTTTATGAACAATTGCATGAAAACTGAGCTTTTTCTTACCAGATCTCCTGCTGAAGGCCACTGCACATCTGAGTTTTCCCCTTCCAGTAGGTACTGATGACATAACTTATGGGCTTTGGCTTCATCTCTCTCAGACTTGGTATTGCTCCAGTAGAGGCAAAGACTTTAGGGCTCAGCAGCAGCAATTTTCAGTTTTAAAGACTTATTTTGTGCTTCTCTGTGCTGTGTGCAGACATAACCACAGTGGTCAACCCCTACTTTCAACTTCCCCTTTGGTGCCTTGTGATGTTTACATGGTGTGCAGTGTTCTGCAATCATCAGACAAACAGAAATAAAAATCAGTGTTGGTTTGCTTTTTAGGAGTAACCCCTGGAGTCAACAGCCATTCACTCCTTGTAACCTTTAACTCTCACAACATGAAGGGGCTTTACAGAAGAAATAAATAGAGTATCAACTTAAGAGTTCCCATGTGCTTTCATATGAAAGCATTAAAACTCTAAACACAGCATGAGAATGAAGCAATAAAGCATCTGGACTTTCTTGGCCAGGCATGGAGTTGAGCATGCCTGATTTTCCACGAAGCAAGTGGATTTGCAGAGAAAAGTGCCAAGTAGTCACAGCAGCATCACTGTTATTACAAGGATGATTTTTCAGCACACACTGTGCTGAAATGATGATGGGTGGCTACTGCATTTTTGAGAGCTCTTTGATTTTCTGCATGCAATGGGAACTCAGCTCCTAGAAGACACTGGAGAGGGGGATGCAGTCCAGAGATAACCCAAGAGAGATACTCTGCAAGATGTTTTTCATTAGTCCACAGCTGGTAGCTGCAAAGAAAGGGCACAATACTGATACCTGCCAAAGGAGGAATGAATTCAGAGTAAGTATTTCTTTGGCTGCAAAATCTTTTCCAAGACTTAGCTGAGAAAGAGGCAGTCTTCTCCTTCTAAAACAGAAGGAAGATCTAAGTAGTACCAGATCTATCTTTATAAATACATATCTAGTGGCTTGTTTTAAAATTTGAAAATATCACTAAAACTGCAGGAAATAAAGAAAACTGCTGCTTTGAGGGTCTTCCCATTCAGAAGACAAGTTCTGTCTCTTACTAGAATTATCCAGTCTTTTGCAGAGTTGCTCATCTCAACACTTGAGTGATGGACAGAAACTTTTTTAGAGAGTATCACAGGTTCCTTTCATAAAGGCTGAGGAACAAGCCATGATAATACCTCAAGGTCACAAAAAGGCCACTTTATCTTCTGCAGGAGTTCAGGTGGTTGAGGTTTATGGAAAAAGTTATTAATCTGGGCCACAAGAAAATTGTGATACAGGGCTGCAGGACTATGAATAACTCAGCAAACTCAGTGGGTTCATAACTCAGATGTCCAAACAGGCTACCTGCATAGCTGGAACATCGATTTTGGATTTTTTTTTTTTTTTTTTTTGGCAAGAGTTGCTGCACACTTGGAGCCTTTGAGCCCTGCAGAAGCAGTTAGGTGTTTTACCCAGCCATTGCAAACCAATCCTAAAAGGGAAAAAAGTTACCTGTCATTCTTTGTTGGCTCATGGTAAGATATGTGAGCTGCCACATTACAATTAAAGGCCAGTTGAGGAGAAAATTTTCTTCCTCTGACCCAAAATGCATCACCTGGCCCAGGAGAGGACTTTTCTTCTGTTCTATGATAGCCAGGATACAAAATGGCCTGGGTTTAACCAGTCCCTGGGCACAAGGAGAGCTGGAGGAATGCTGTGGCTCCATACTTCTTGTGTGCACCAGCTGCAGAGTGATGGAATTGGCCTCCCACTCAGAGTACTTTGGTTCTGCTGGAGTCAGAAGTTTGCTCTTAGGACATTTATCCTGAATCAGCTCACAGGATGGAAATTCTTACATTTCAGTAACTAACTTCAAGAACAAATTTATCAGCTGAGTCTGTCCCAGCCTGCTCTTTAGGTTGCAGGTTCCTGGGAGCAGGAGTTGATTTTTTTCAGAGCTATATTCTCTAATTGGATTTCCCACTCGTATCAAAAAAAGGTGAGTTCTCATAAGTTTGCATTTAATTTTATGGTTCTCCTGCTCTAACTCACGAGGCATTTGCCCAGGCTAGGTGGGACACAGTATCTGTATCCATCTGATAGTTCAAAACACTCTCTTCAGCTGCCAGAACAGCTAATGTGGCATCTGCAGCTGCTGTTGGCAACTTTCCCACTGATATCAGTGCAGCAGGTTTTGATCTTAAATTTGCTCTGTGCGTCCCTAAAGAGTACTCTAGCTTGAAACTCTGTGGTGGTTCAAATGAGGCTTTTTGCTGATGGCTACAGTCCCCTTCCTCCAACCCTGCTGCCTGGAGGCAGAGCTGGTGGTCAAGAAAAAAAGATTTCCCAAAAGATAACTGTGCTATATATTTTAGGGTGCTGAGCACGGTGTAGTTATGCTGACTTTTAAAGCATGACCACTGTAAGTTCACCAGCTGGAGCACAGAGAAGGGAAATGCTTCTGGATCCAGGTTTAGTGATCAGCTATTCCACTGAAGATGAAACTCCTGTGAGTGCTTATAGCATTCATCTTTTGGTTGAATATCTGGCAAAAATTGCAGCAAAATTAATTTCAGATAATACAACTGAGGCAAACTTAACGGAGAAAAAGCCTGGAAAACTTTTCTGGTAGGGGATGTGTTGCATGTGTCTATATATCTGTATCCATTATGGGAAGGACATTAGCTCTGGTGTGGGAGGGTAATGACAGACACACGGGCCCTGACGGAGGTCCTGTCATGTGTCTGTGGAAAATACGTATCACCCAAGGCAGCGTGTAGCGTAGGAGAATTAGGAAACCTTGAAGAGGTGACAGCTGATTAAACAGCTGAAGTTTTAGATCTCTCGGAGCTATTTGATATGCAAAGATACATCATAAGACAGCTACCTTAAGCTGCCTGATACCAGTTTTTTCCCCCCTGTTCCAGGCACTGCCGTTTACCTTGTACAAAGCTGTTACTGTTTAGTCTGTGCAGAAACAGCCTTTGTCATCATATCCTCCAGCTAAATGAGATCATTGTAGCACTGTAGACAATATACAACCCTGCAAGCCAGAACATAAATTTATTAATTTTCACACAAAACTAATTTCACAATGTCTTTGGAGCAAGTGTCCTTGCTGTCTTTGATGCAGAGCATTTAAGCTGAAGAAAGAAGGGGAAGGTAAATTCAACTTAAAATCTTCAGACCCAAGATTGGCCCCAAAGTATTCATGTCATCAGGGTAGGAAGCCACCTTATCTTCTGCTGTGGTTTCACTGTAGCTGAAAGCTTAAAGAATGACCGATACCATGAGAACATTTGATCCCCTTTCACCCTTCTCCAGTGCTGGGGTTTGTGCAAGATTACAGTCAAATGTATTTCTCAAGAAAAGTCAACTGGGATACCACTCAACTCCCTTATCTTGATGGACCTTCAAAGCCATTCTCCATCCCAATACTCAGCCTTATCTGGATATAAACAGATATGCTCAGTGCATCTCTGGGCCATCTTCCCCACATGGTCACACTGTACCATCATCAGCTGCTTCAGCAGAAGTCAGTGTAAAACCAAAATGGCTGAAAGATTTGTGGGCTGTAAAAAAGGGACAAAATGCAAAGCACAGATGGATGCTATTCCCAGAAGGGAGGGGAGTGCATGGAGGGGCAATCTGTGCTCCGTGGTGATCCTTTTTTACTGAGGTGGATGGGGTCTGGATGGACCTTCCTGAGGGAGCCTTGGGTAAAGACTTGAAGATTTAGATGATGTCAGTTGTGCTGTGAATTTGTGAGTCACTGCACACTGTTAGGAAAACCACAGTCCCTCTAGAAAGGGGAACCCATTTTCTGTCCTGGCAGGGGCCAAGGTATAGAGAGCAGAGGATCCTGCACTGATGTGTCTGACTAAGCCCACATAATAGGCTTCACATCAGTAAATCTGAGACAGACAGTAATTGCAGTAACACGGGCTTAGTGGTGAAAGCATGGGTCACCACAGGTACACCCCAGCTGTGGAGAAGGGCATTGTCTCTTTTTATTGCTCCTCACCACATAAGACTTCATTTTATAATTTAGAATTGTAGCAATTGTGATTGGCACCACAGATCAGAACCAACAGATGAAATGAAACCTGATAGCCCCTCCCTGCTTTTTAAAATAATATTCCAAAAATATCCCCCTGTTTCCCAGGCACGGATATCACAAAGGGCAGAAGAGGACATCGTCTCCCAGATTTTCTCTTTCCTCCATCTGTAGCCTATGTGTTGTCTATACAATGTGCCTAAATATTTATATCATTAACAACAGAAAGGAAAAAGGGGCATTCTCTCAGCAGGCAAAATGTCTGGCTGCAATATTTCCACCAGAAAAAGGTTGAATTCAACTGTATGACATTTTTCATGAAGTTCCTGCTTTCCAGAGGAACTCTGGGGTTACAAACATTAAGAAGTTGCTACAATTGTAATGTCACCTCAGTGTGCCCCAGGAGGCAGGTTCTTTGTTTCTCTGCCTTTCTATCCTTTTCTGTGGGCTGTCCTTATGAGCCACTTAAAGTCTTCTGTGGTGCACCAGCATCAATGACTCATAACATACCATTTTTCTTCTCTGGGAGGACAACTCCAGTGCTTCCTGGGGATTTTGTTCCTAACCAGTGAAATGGCCCATACAACTGGCAGCATAAAATGCATTAACAACAGGTTCCATAATGTTTAATAGGCATACTAAAAGGTAGCCCCAGAGTTATGCCTCTTTACATGTAAATCTAATTTTCTGACCAACCACCTTCATGGTTTTAATTTACTTCATCCTGTACATGCTATCAGCAGCAGTCAGTCTGGTAGCAAGCTATAGGTTTTTTCCCTAAAAAATGCCACACAGAGATTACACACAGGACTGGGACAAACTAACTGGACGCAAAGGACATTCAAAACAACAAAAAAATGAGCCTGCACATAAAAGTTGTAAAGGGTGCAACTGATTCCTGCAAATAAACTGTATCAGTCAGACCATTGTTCTGGTTTGCTGGACTAACAGTGTGAGATAAAAACTCAAATGGCAGATGCCACATTTTTGGCCTAGAATGTACTTCTTGATTTTTTTTGAAGTTTTTTTTTCAAATTTCAAAATTTCAGACTAAATTTGAAGACTAAAGTACAGTGTCAAAGGCAGGAGCTTATCCAGTAACAGGCTGATTTGTTGTTCTGGAAAGACATTGCTGTTACCAGTGAACCAGAAGGACATCTTTTCTCAGAAAACAATGCTGTGAACTTCAGAGACATTGTGTTATATTCAGTGCTCATCCCTCTGACATGCTGGACAAAAATACTCTATCCAGAATAATAAGGGAATTGTCTGCAATTTAGCATATTAAGCAATCTGGTCTTAAAAGCCATCAGACAGTCCTTGGGAGAACTTAGCCTCTATTACAGGCAAACATGGTGTGTGTTTTAGTGGTGCAGGTAGCACTAGAACTGTCCCCTCTCAAAGAAGAGATAACATTATGCCCAATACAAATTTGGCATCAATCTACTGAGACCAGTATTTGGAGAAGAATCGTGCTGGTCCTCCATTATATGTTCCAGACATTTTTCATTCCCTCCCAGATAAAATGCCCTGCTGATCTAATGGTAGAATTTGGCTCTCAAAGCTAGAAAGCTCCAACTGTAGCCAAAATAATATCCTAAAATAGAAAGAAAAATGAGAAAGCAGAAATGTTATTTTCCTCTTTCAAAAGTTTCAGCAGGAAGCTAGCAGTGAGAAACCACTAAAATGGCTCTCTCCCAGCTACCTCTCCCAGTCTGGTCATTGCTTGAAACACTCAAAAAATCCCTCATCCTAAGGTCCAAATGCACCTTGGTTTCATGCCTGTGTCTCCGGTATCACTGGAAACCACCTTAAGTTAATTGAGCTCAGGATTTGGTCTTTCTGTGTGAATCAGTTCTAGGGAAGCTGACAGCTACAAATCCCTGTGTTTTTGTTCTGATGAAAACAGCCTGAAGATCTAAATTTAACATTTGGTTTCACAATGCTCATTTTTGACTGTAAGTAAAATCACCCTGGAAAAACAGCTTAGAATAGGAAGAGATATGTTTTCCGGATGCTGGAAAAGTGAATTAAAAAAAAAGCACACATGACAAATTTATCCTCGTTCACAATTTAGATTGCTTTTTACTCTCTGCTTGGTATCTTTGGATAAATACTGTGAATAAAAATTGCATTAGTTACAGAAGAGATTCATAATTTTCTGACCCCATTTCAGAGGAAGATGTAGCACATATCTGTGGTGTTCGGGTCACGGGAAACAGCGCCTGCAGATCAAATCTGTGTTGTGAATGGTTTTTTTCACATGAGGAAACCAGGCAGAATATTTTCCAAGATGAAAAAGATTCTTCTTCATCCACACATTTATTCTGATTAATTTCTTGTTGCAGAAAATTATCCCTTTCACTTGCCCTACAGTCACATTACTACACTTTAGCAATATAAAGAGACCATGGAGTGGATGTAAATATAATTTATAGTTGAAGAATGGCATAAATCACCTGCACATTATGAGGCAATCTAGTGTAAATAAGACTGAGGCCTCTACAATGAAATTCTGCTCCCAGGAGTGACAAATGGCATTTTCTATTCAGCTTTTTGTATTTGAAACAATGTCTGCTTCCAAATAAGCCGGATGGATTCCAAAGGATGACCTGATCCTGCTCTTCCTAGTGCATTCTCAGCAGCTTACCAGGCTCTAGCCATGCAAATTCATGGAAGATGTTCATGTGCCCTTGGAAACATGATTTTTATTTGGGAACATCTTGAACCTTGGATGCCAGCAGCACTTTTTCAGTCTAGCAATTAGGGAAAAAGGCATTGCACCTATAAACTGAGAGCAGCAGAGACCTTGAGCTACTTGAGAAATTACACACAGGCTTTCATAATACAGTGCCACAACACCCCCAAAACAGGAGATGTGGAGAATGGACCCTCTGTGGCTCAGGGCCTGTCTTTGTCCTAGTGACCTAGGGGGTGACAAGTGTCCCTTCTGCCTGTGCAGGTGCACATCTGCATGGACACCTTTGAGGACCTGGTTGGGAAGTGGGTGCCCAGGGCTGCTGCCTTGGGCTGAGTCCTGGGACTCCCCTGTCCTGGGTTTTTTGGGGTGTCTCCCAGGCTGGTAGATGCTCGAGCATGAGTCACCTCATCTTGCAATTCCTTGGAGCAGTTGTCCCAAAACCACCTGCCCACAGATGGGGAGTGACACCACCTGTCCACCATCTCTGTGAGCACCTTCTCTCCTGGAAGAGCTCCTCTTGCATTCCCCAGGAGAGCTGCTGCTGGCACTGGGACACGAGGTGGCTTGGCAGGCAGCTGGGTGCGGCCGGACGAGCCGCGCTCACGGCAGAGGAATGCGCGGCACCTCCCTGGGCTGCGAGGCTGCTGCTGCACAGCCTGCCCTGCATTGCTCTGCCTGCATGTGACAGGTGAGCAGGCAGTGTGGCATGAGGCTGCTCTCTGCCACTGGTGTGGCCCAGGAGCAGCGATGGGCTGGTGCCAGGCGGGATGTCTGGATGGACAGCCCAGTGGTCAGGTCTTTGCAGCAGTCCCACCACTGTCCCACCCCTGTTGCTCTGCTCTGGCCTGCCCTCTTACATCACATTTCTGCTTTAGTTAAGTGTTTGGTCCTCAATACAAATACAGGAATAAAAATAACTCTTTTTACATTGCTTCTTTACCACAATTGTGCCAATCACTTGGACCTTTCGTTCAGAGCAGACTGCAGCTTGTCTGGTCAGTCTCGTGGCTGCCTTCAGTTTCAACCTACTAATCTTGCATGGCTCAATCTTGGCCCTGCTCTTTGGGCTTCACTCTGCTTTAAAAAGACCTAAAAAGAGAAGGTCTTTCTCTGTTGGGCCTTGGCTCTTTCCTTGGAGGACAAATTCTTCCCACTCTGGGGACTTGGTATCTGCCTTGGAGAACCCACAGGCTCAGGTTGGAGCTCCAGTCACTGGCAGCCCCAGTCTGCCAAGGGCTGCAGATTTACAGGGCCAGGAAGTCTGGAGACACTCAGCAGTGGACCTGTTGTCTTGGGTATTTCCTAGGCCATGTTGTCTACTCCTTGTGCTAGAGCTACAGTTTGATTCCTCTGAACAATCTAAAGTGAGGCTGTTAATGATAAATTGAAAATATAATATGCCATGAGGGACTCCTTACGGTACAAGAACTGCTTGTGATGACAAAGGCCAGCTCATCAGCAGAATTAATCAGTGCAGCATCAGTGAGGCTTTGTTGATTTGCAGATGCAGAGGATTTGGCCTCAGTGCCTGGTCTATATTATTTTACAGTAGATAATGAATGCAGCATGCCATGCTTGCTTTTCTTACCCTTCTCGGAAATTGCAGTTTTACTGACCTGAAAGTATTTTCCCACTATTAAACTTTCAGTCAGGACATAAGCCCTTTTTAAGATGCTGAACACCACAGGATGCCCTCTCCCTGTGTGGGAACAGCTCTGCTGTACCAAAAGGAGGTGTGATCTTATGGGATAGAGATTCCTTGTGGCACTGACTCATACACTGTAAATTTGTGCTCATTTTCACATCTTCCTCCTGATCCTGTTTTAGGCTGCGTTTCCATTACTCCTCCACCCTGGGGGAGGAATCCTCAGCCAACACAGCTCTAACCCGGAAACCACAGGGGATGAAAAGACCTTTCATAGCAATAATGATGCCATGTTCCTCTCCTCTGCAGCTGCATTTTGAAAACAAAAGATCAGGAGGCAAAGTCACCACCCACAAGCAGAATTTGCAGTTCTGCAGCCATCGGGGACTGGTGCAAATGGGCCTGATGCAGATGCCAGAGAACATACTTCCTATTGACACCAGGGAACAACAAGAACTGAAAGTATAACCTAATCTAGGCTGAGAACAATGTCTACTTTTGCATATTTAGCAGGGATAGCCTTGGGCCATGAGCTGAGGCTTAACTTTGCCTACACCATAATTTATTTTTCATATTTTTGTAATCAGCAGTTTGGGTCAATCTGCTGTAAAGACCATGTAATGTCTGCAAAATAAGGTGGTGGATGCCCTTCCAGTTTGATGGCCCTTAGTAGATACCTATGCCTGCAGTATATACCCATGCCTGTGCACGTTCCAGCTTCAGTGTCCTTGAAAGATTTCCCATAAAACAGATAGGAAGACACTTGCAAGTACCTCCAGTAGTTTGGTGAGTCTGTAGTTCAACACAAAGTGTAGAAGTACAGGTTGAAGGCTGTGGATTATCACTTCTTTCTACTACAGCATATTGCTAGGCCAGGTTTATCTGAGTGCTCAGGGCTGAAGCACTTCTTGGGACTTGCCTTTCCAGCACAGATAGCACTTTGAACTGGCAAAGGGTAGGTGATTGACATCAGACAGAAGGTCTGATTTCATCAAGGCTTTGGCATGCCACTTGCTGGAAAATGTATTCCAATAAGTACCACCCAGAGTTATTAAATGTGGCACTGAAGGGTGACCAAAGTTCCTGCCAAGGAACTGCCACTCTGGACTGGTTTGGTCTCTGCTCCTACAGGCAGGCCTGATGTTAGACATCAATGGGAAAAGGTCAGTGGGACTAGGGAGGGTCTGGCTGCACCTTTTGAAAGCCCTGGGCACATGGCAGCAGTGTGATCTTGTAAGCTTAGTATGTTAAAATACAGCTGTTCCTTCTCTTGGGCAGCCTTCATAACATGAATTGGAGGTAAATGATGACTGTAGTATTTTGTGGTTACTTTACGTGCCAGTGCTCACATGGGGGGTGGAATGGTGGAGAACCCAGCTCAGTGTCCATATGAGACACTGAAATGCCTATGGGAAGTCTTTCTGAGCTTCCCCAGAGACTATTTCAAACCTTGTGCTAATTGTTTTCTTCTTGACTGCTCTGAGTTCACTCCCATAGCTGCCAGGGTTTGATAATCTCTGAATCACAGTTCTCTGCTTGGATTTCTGTCACAGTCTCTGTGTGACCTGTCCTCTCCTGGGCAGAAACTTGCAGGGTCACATGAGGTGCCTCTGCTGGGCTGGAAATGGGAATGGGTTATTTCTTCTGAGTTGAGTGGGCCCCTAAAATACAAACCTCATTTCAAATAGCATTTGACACGGCTGAGTGCATTTGTCTTCTCCAACGTGCAAACTAGAGACCAGCTATTTTCTGCTCAGCATGGAAAGGAAACAGGAGAACTGAGACCACAACACCCACGTCTGTGAAGGTATTTAAGCACTTGCTGGGATCCATGCATCGTGGCCAAGCTGTTTGTTGGTAGTAAGACATAGTCTGGGCAGCAGGTGCCCAAATCACATTTTTCCAAAGTCCTACGGTACAGTCTTTATCACTGGGTTGGGTTTCTCTGAAGTTCCTTGCAGGACCAATTATAGGAAAGGGCTGATGCTACATGTGCAGGTTCCTCTGTTTATTTTCCATGGTGCCCCATCCCTGCAGACACTTTTCCACCCCGTGTTGTGCAGGCGCCTCGGCAGAGGTTGCTCTCAGCACCCTGCACCACTCGTTCCTTGTGGATGCCACAGAGGAACCACCTGTTACTCTAAATCTGGCAGTCTTTCCTCATCTTCCCTGCATCCCCATTTCAACTTCTGTAACTACATCTGTGTGACCTGTTTTCTCCTGCTATGTAGAAACTTGGACAGTCACATGGGGATATGTGGGGTCACTCGTACTCCCCTGACCCTGTAAATGTAGAAGGGTTAGTTTATTTCCAGAAAGTATGGTTTACATATGGTTTTCCTTTCATTATTTTAGATGTCAACTAGAAGGGCTCTGCTTGTTCCCTTTAGTAACAGCAAGTAAATAGCCGACCTGTTTAGAAAAACTTAACACTAGAGACCTGGAGAAATCTTTGGATGCAAGATGCATGCTGAACTGTGTGTGACCCTCTGTAGAGAAACATTAGCTTAATATATTAGTAAATGTTTTTTAGTGAAGATAAAAGAATATTAGAGAAAATATACAAGGCGTGAGGTCCAAGTTCCCTGTGCAGTCCATTTCCCATTGAAATCAAATGGCCAAAATGAAAAGGTCAGCAAAAGTTTGCTTGAATTCTGAGTGAGGAAAACAAGAAAAGCTCTTTGCTTGCTCCAGGCAGTGCTGTTACCAAGAGGATCTGGTCACAAAGACCAAGGCCAGAGTTTTCAAAAGCAGTTGTTTGATTTGCTAGCCCTGTTTGAAGCACACTGACTGGAGCTGCTTTTGGGAAGTCGTGAAAAACGGGGAGATCCAGGGACCCCCATGCTAGTCTTGGTAGGCTCAGCCAATGCCACAAGGCTGCTTTGAAGCCTTTGACCAATCTCCTGTCAGGTCAAGCTCTGGGGCATAAAGCAGGAATTCTGACTTGCACAAGTGCTGATAAAGTTTATGCTGTTGAGCCTCCTGGGTTGCCAGCTTGGGCATCTTCACACTGTGTCCCCTTTTGTACTGAGACACACATGCAGAGGCCAAAGAATGAAGATGTCTCATGTTAACTGTAAGATTTCAGGCTGACTTGAGCTTACCAAGACAGGTGGTGAGTGCAGGCACCCAAGGAATCATACTTGGAAGACAAGATTGAAGGACTCCTGCAGTTCAGAAATGCTACTTGGGAACCGGATAGTCAAGTACTGCCAGTTCCTAGGATCAGCTTAAAGTTAATAGAGTGATGGCAGGTGCCCAAACATCTTTGCAATCCTACATTTGCAGAGATGTTTTCATCACAGAGCAGACAAAATAAAATGGTTTTTAAAACAACACACCCTGCAGGTCTCTGTCTTTGCCACTGAGTATATGAAATTTAAACTAAAAAAAAAAAAACCTAACAGAAAAAGGGAATGAATTCACATAAATAACGTAATTAGAGAAGCTTGAAAGCAGCAAGAATGTGTGAGACTTCAATGCATTTTTATCCTTTTAAAATAAAACAGATGCTGAGAGGATGTTATAAGAAGGCGTCTCAGAAAGGCTGGTGTAAAAACATTAAAAGAACAGAGAAACTTGATTTTTTGCAGGAAGACAAGCAGGGACCTGGTTCTGCAGAGCTGGGATATAGAAATGCATGTTATGGAAATGCTATGTTTTGGCATGATCTGAAATTGCAGACTTGGGAATTGAGTGTGTGGAGTGCTCCATACATCCAAACATCATTTTGCTGAATTTGGAAAAAAGTTTCAGATGACCTTAAAGGGATGATTTTCAAATCTTCAAGCTTACTTGGAGATTGCCTCCAAGCAAGAGAGCCTTGGCTTAAGTGAAAGCATCAGTAGCCCATAAGCCCAATCCACCTGCAAATCCTGCTGGTGTTTGTGTCCTTTTGATAAGGTCCTGTTTTTCCCATGGGTCGGTAAGTCCATAGTCAATACATTCTTGACTTCTATGGAAAGCAATGTTAAAACCCCTACTTTTTTTTTTTTTTTTTTTTCCCCTGGGTGGAGGTGGGGGGTGGGTAGCCTCAATCAAAATCAGTCCCATATTCTTTTCATAAGTTTTTGTGCTTATCAAGATGAATTCATTTAAGATCATAATTATATTAATTAAGAGCACTGTTTCTACAGGTGTGGCTAGTTCCTAAAGAGCAAATAGCTGCAGTAGGATTGGACAAAAGCAATCTTTGGCAGAGTTTTTTAGGCTTTAGCAGGTTTGAAATGCCCTTATGGGGTTGGTATCATTGTTATTTTAATGACGTGACATTGGAGACATGAAAGAAAGAATGTTTTACTCACAATCACTCAGCAAGTCAGATCCTTTCTCACTTACTGGTGATGCCACATAACTGCACAGCAGATACCCAGTAGCAAACTAATCTCATTTCACCATTAGTGGTAACCAAGAGGGTTTCCTCAAGTCAGACTTTAGGCAAAATTTGAAGTAGCTTTGAACTGATTCTGCCGTGAGACATCATCTACAGGCAAATGACATGACCAGAATGAGAAGGGGGATGATCTACCACAGGACTGTAAGGCTAAATGTTCACAATTTGTCTGTTCAAAAATGTTTACTTAATTTCATGTCACTAAAAGAGCAAAATGCTGTTCCCTTTTAATAATAAACATTATATTTCACTAAAGAAGAAGTAAGACAAGAAGTGATAACAAAAATGCCTCTGAAAATAAGCTATTTGTTTCCTGGCAGATGCAAATCTATTCTGTGTCTCCCTGTTTCCCTCTTCAAATGCACTTGTGTGGGTCCCACCTATGCACCAGGCAGGGAGCTCAAGATCTGGCTCCACAGGGATGCTTTGTACTGTCCTGAAAGCAAAACTTAATCCATGGAGAGGACAATGCTCTCTTGAGTTACTGGCTCCTTCATCCTCGTCTTGGACAAGCTTCCTCTCATCTCTAAAGTGTTATCTGAGTAAAGATCTCAGTATTCTCCTCCCTAGAATTTATTATTAGTTTATTGAAAAAAAAAATACAATCCCTTCAGCTATGAAAATTACCCTCATTTGTCTATAAATAGGCTTAACTTCTTAAATTGTGTCAGCTGCTGCAGATTCACCAATTTGATCTAGATCTCCAGATCTTTTCTGCTCCTACAGCTCCAGGGCAAATGACTCATGCTGTTTGCAAGTGCCTATCCCACTGAGCCTGGCAGTATCAGTGTGGCTGAAGGTTTCTACTAAAACCTGGGCAGGGATTTTCTCCTCATCAAGCTGAGCTCACCAACATACTGCAGAAACAAATTGGTATGTTGTACTTACATGAAAATCCATGCATTAGCAATAGTCCAGCACCAAATCTGTAGAGGAAAATGTGTTCTAGAAAACAAATATGATAAAGGCAAATTCCTATTGATCCATTTTCCCAGCTGCATTTCCCTTCACTGGTGGCAGTCCTAGGAAGATTGGACTGCACTACCTATTACCTTTGAAATTACTTTGGAAATGTGAAAGGGAAATGTCAAAGTATTTTCAGACAATCTAAATGGCTTTTATAGCTTGTTCCTGGAAATCAGAGTTTCCTGAGCTGTCTGAATGTTCAGTCCTTACTCTATAAATCACTTGTTTTTAAAAGCAGAAGGGATCCAATTTCCCAGGTGTGTGCCCATTCCTGGAGTTGTCCCACCCCTTCTGCTACTTTTCCTGGGAAGGGAAAAATCTTAGAAGGGAAAATCAGAGGAAAAAACTCTTCTTAAGTGAAGGGAATTCTTCTAGGTGAAGGGTAATGGTTCCCTTCTGGCTATGAGGCACCTGGGGATAGAAAGGTTGGTGCAGCCAGCTTTGCCCAAGTTTCCAGAAAGTCCTGGGCCTTGGTATTTATTTGATCTTATTTGTGTGCTGATCTGTGGACCAGAAAGACACATGGAAGAGCTGAATTTTATTTTATATCTTATTTTATTTTATTTTATTTTATTTTATTTTATTTTATTTTATTTTATTTTATTTTATTTTATTTTATTTTATTTTATTTTATTTCACTTCTACTTCAGTTACCCAGGTTATGGCATAAGGTGTTGCTCTTGCCTAATAAACAAGCTGGCTGCTTTGAAAGTCCAGCTGATGGTGCTCTGAGGGCCATCTGTGTCCTCAGCTCCCAATTTCTCTTCTCAAGCTCTTTGGAGTGAGGGCCTGTGTATTTTATGCTGCCATCACAAATAACAGACTCTCAGCTTGATATCTGTGATCAACTGTGCCTGTCACATTTCATGCCATAAAAAACATATGCGCAAGGTTGGAAGGGCAAACATGCTTTTGGCTTCCCTGCCATTTGTAGTTCAGTTTGCCTGCAACCCTTCTTTCATTGTGTATTGCTACTTTTCCCCTGAAAAAATTTTCAGAGCCCCCTGGAAGAAGAAACAAGCTCTATTTACTGACATTTCTTTCAAGTTATTATGAGCAGACAGCTCTTGTAGGCTGTAAACAGGATCTCTCAGCCAGAAGCCTTCAGTCAGAACCTGCCAAGCCCAAAGACCTCCTTAATTTAAAAAGGTCTGAATTAGCCATTAAATATCACAGCATCTTGAAGAACATCCATAGGATCGCCCTGCTTTCCTCCTTGGTCAAGGCTTGAGTGGCACTCAGTTAAGTTTCTGGGAGTCTTCTCTGTTGGATGCCATGGCTCTACGTGCACACACATGGATTAGTCCACACTGTGAATTAATTAATTAATTAATTCAGCTGCAAGTTCCACTGCAAGGGAGTGCCAGGGCTGAAATGTGGCCCGAAGCACCCTGAGGCATTGTTGACACAGCCTGGGTGACGAGGAGCCTTTCCATGTTTCTGCACAGGACGAAGCCAGGGTCAATGCGATGGGGAGGAATCATTCTGTGCCATCTGCTCCCTCTCTGGCAAACCTCAGGGCACGGCAGGGAGTTCCTCCCGTGGCTCACCCCTCTGTGTGTCTCCAAGGGATGTAGCCCTGACAGGAGGCTGTGGGACACAGTCATGTATGCCCTGACGTGCTGGCTTCCCATTTCACATTTGCTGATGGTCCTCATGCCAGAGGCCAAGTTTACTTCACAGAGGCTACATTCTGCAGTGCTCGGGCTGCCTCTAAGATCCTACCCAGGGAATAGATAAACAGAACAATGTTTGAGCCTCTGGTAAATTTTAATGTCATTTTCAGGGAAATATATGTGTCATAACAACACAAAGCAGGCACAGTTCCCTTGCTTTCGATCTGCCTGGTGCCAGGGTCCACGTCATTTCAGCATTGAAACAGATCCAGCAAGTTCATGGTAACTTTGCTCTCTGAAGAAGTGCCTCTTTTGCCCCTTGGTCTGTACTTGTCTTCCAGCAGTGTTCCTTAGTCCTGTCAGAGAATGTCACGTACTGTTATCTTAACATCTGATTTTCACTGGAAACCCTAGGGAATTGGGCCCTTATCTTCACATACCATGCACATCAAAATAGTTTAATCAAGCCTATTAATTCCAGGGCTTGCTGCTGATCTGGATAAAACACTGCCCTTTCCCAGCACTGCAGCTTTGTAGCCAAGTTTCACATTGCAGCACTCTCCATTAAGTTTGTTCTCTGCTCCCCGGGGCTGAACACATTCCCCTAGAGTCTCCCAGGTCTTACAGAGAGGTGCCAGGGTTCAGCTCTAAGGCTCAGATTCCTTTGGGCTGATTTTCCAGACCAGAAGCATCCCATCAATTCGAAAATTTGGACTTGAGAGTCCTTGGTGTCACTTCCTGGTGCTCTGGGCAGTCATTGCCACATCCAAACATTGGTTCAGGGCAACTGCAGAGCCTAGGAAGGCATCCAAGAGCAAAGAGAAAACTCAACGATGTGCCAACACCAGGGCAAAACTCAGGGGATGTCATTACAGATGTGGCAATGGGGGACCTGGGGAAGCAGACATGCCTTTGTCCTTGTCCCAGCATGCCTGCTTTAGGGAGGGGTGGTGGGACATGGCTTATTCATCAGAAGGCACAACCTGATCAAGAAACAAACTTCAGAGAACTAGACATGGGAAGTTTAGGTACAGGAGGATGGTTACAAGCATCTCCTGAGAAGTGGACCGGATTCTTCTGCCTTTTCACACCTTCAGCAGGGTTTTACCTCATGGCTCACCCCTGACTCTTAAGGCAAAAGTCTCCAGCAGCTGTGGGGATGCCTTGTCTTTAAAGCAGCCACGAGACATGTGCCTGTTGGCCCAGGGCTGCTCGAGATGTGCTGCTGCTTGCTTTTCTGGGAAAGGGTTCTTGCAGCATGAAAGAAGTGCAGGCAAACAAAGAGCTCTGGGGAGAGAAGTGACAGGCAGCAGCTGGAGCCAGTGGGTGACTTGCCGAGTGACAGAGCAGTCGGGCTCCTCGCTACTCTGCTACTATTTTGGAAACATCAATAAACAGAAGAGGCCAGATCAATGTCTCAGGGCTCCGACGCAAACCCGGAGGAGCCCTGTGGACATTGGTGGCACCAGCAGCCTGAGACATCAGTTTGTCCATAAGAACTCTGCTGTGCTTCATTTGGATTCAAACTCATTGAATTTAGACACTGAAAACATCATTAGCAGATCACTAATTACCAGATCTCAGCTCCTTTGCAGGTGCAACCTTGCACTGAGGAATTCATGCTCATTGTGCCATGGAGAATATGACTTCAACTTCTGCGGGAGGAGCTTTCAAGCAGCTGGAAAAAAGTATGGATGTTTATATTTTTAAAAAGGGATTGTTTTTGCTGCTGTCAATTATTAATGGCTCTCAGGTCAGGCTAAGGAACAATGCCAGGGATAAATTACCCTGTATGCTATTCATATATGCTCTACCCAGTTGTTTCCTTCTCAACTAGAGGATTCACCTCGCAATGAACTCCTTGGCATTTGGAAAAAAAGGACTGACAAAGCAATGAACTTGGTGTGCCCATTTATTTATGCATTGACATCTTTCCTACTTTGTCAGGTGTGTTTAATCAGAAAGAAGCAGGAAATGCATTATAATTATAAACATATTATTGCAGAAGAAAAAGGCTGCCCATGGAAAGGACTGCATTGTTTGATAAATGGTTACAGTGAAAAAACACAGGCTTAACCTACGACTCTTTGCTGAGATCAAAGCAAAGTTGCTGCCACAGGCTCCCTGTGTAGCAGAACTCAGCTCTGGGTTTGCAGCAAGGCAAGGGGAAGAAAGTTGAAAAGAAAATGCAATCTCCTCCCTTCCTTTTATTTTTTTCCCTAAAACTTTTCCCCTAGTACTAAAAAAAAAAATAAAAAGATGACTCAACCATTAAATATTTGCTGTTAAAATTAAGAGAATTAGTGAAAAACCCAGCTGTGAACACAATAACTAGGGTCATGTCCCTTGTTGAAGCCATTGAGGGACATTGTTTTCGACAGGTTCAGACTTGGGATCCTGATGAGCCAAAGCAAAGATGGAGTTAGAGAATAAACCCGGGAGATTCTGGATATCCTGCAGTCTTTCCATGTGACCTTGCCCAAACTTGCAAACATTCCTTAACTGCGACGACAGCTGAACCCCAGTCAGTGCTGCTGCTGTGAAAAGCAAAATCCTTCTGGGCTCTGAGACCAGGAATGCTGTAGGTAAGATGCTGAAAGGGTTTATTGCCCTTCTCAGCACTGCAAGGCTGAACCATGGCCTTGCACTTAAATAAATAAAAAAACCACCAACAGACAAACTGAAAATTGTCCAGAGGAGAGCAACAAAAATGATCAGAGGTCTAGAAAACATGACTTATGAGGAAAGATTGAAAGGGCTGGGTTTGTTTAGTCTACAGACTTTGAAACATCCTAATAAACTCTAAAGATGTAAAAAATATATGGAATCTAAAAGGGTCAATCGATTGCCCTTTATCTCTGTGGCAGAAGGTACAGCACAAAGAAGACAGTATTAAAAGCTCTGAGGCCAATAACACCTCAAGTTTGTTACTTGGGGAGGGATCACAGCAGCTCATGGCAGATTTTCAGTGTTTTGGACAAGTACCATGAGGGACTGGGTAACTCACTGAACCACGGAAGAGACTGGTTTCAGCCACGTGGTCCTATGGTTTCCTTGGCCTAGTGACTGTGTCAGGGCACCTGAGGACAAGGCCTTGGAGATGATGAAGTTTTAGAACACTCCCTAATTTGAAAAAAATGTGGCAGGTGCTTAACCCTTCTAGAAGTTGCAAGAAGAAATCTTTTTAAAAAGCCTCTTTTCCATGGCTTCCATGGTTATGAAATGAAGAGCAACAAATTCCCACCTTTTCATGGGGCCATCACTGCATTGTGAAGAACCTTGCTGCTCTCCCATGGGGGATTCCTATCTAGGTGAGTACTCAAATATTTAGATGATCAGACCTCTGAAAAAGCATGTAAAAGTGAATCAGGTAGTAACAACCTTGCAGATCCTGCTCCAAAAAATAATCTCCTGGCAATGGAGAAAGAGGCACCTTGGCCAACCCTTGCTAGGAGTGCTTTTACAACTGCAGAGCAGTGGGGATGGTATTAGGTACTGGTCTAGGAGGGCCAGGTGGTGCTCAGCACCTGATCAGAAAGGCAACATCCCTTCTCCTCATCACGCCCACTCAGAGCTGAGTATCCCATCCTGGAGCTGTGTGTGCTGCTCCCTACAAATGACTGAGCAACTTTGCTATCCCTCATCTGTCTTGGAAAGCTCAACACTGTTTTCTGATTTCAACTCCTATTCTTCAAAGGGTCCCAAAAGTTTTGTCAGAGTTTGCATCCAAATTCACCACAAGACAAAAGCCTATTAGAAAACAGGCTTTGAATTTACTGCCCAGCAATCCCAAATTCCCTGAATTATGGGCATGAGGTGAGAGGTTTGTGAAGGAAAGGAGCACAAGGTTGCAGCCAGAGCAGAGCTTCCCGTAGCCCTTGGCATTTCCAAGGACCTGGGGGTCAAGTGAGGGCTCCCCAAGAGATGGTGGAAAGATGCTGTGTTCAATCCTGCCACAACCCTGCTCCTTTTTGCACTCCCCATTTCCTGCCCAGCTATGCAAGGTACTGCTTGGTCTCACATGAACACAGAGAAAAATCACTAGTTATATGATACGGGAATTAAAAAAGTCTGTTTGCTTCTAAGCATAAACCTATGACTGAGGCAATGGTTTGCAAACATGGGATTATGGCCCCAAGTCAACTTTTTTTTCCCCTCAGTTTTGGGTACAGTCACGAGCCTGGCAGGAATATGTGTCAGCTAAAATGCATGGCAGCAACTGGCGTCTCCTGGAGTTTGGAGCTGAGTGGGGTCACAACAGGATGGAGTTTGGGAAGGCAGCACTGCAGGGTTAGGAATAAACATCTCCCTGGGGCAGACTTTCCATAATTGGCCATGACAAGGCTTCTTTCTCCAGAGAGCTGGAGCTGGTCTGTGAGGAAACAGGATGAATCACTGCTCCAGCTCAATTTGGCAAATGCCATGATTTCGTTCTGCTCTGCACAGGGAGCAGATGATGATATAGACTGAAAGACAGAACAGAAATCTAGCCAAAGGCTTCTGAGCTGGGAGAGAAGTTTGAGTTCCCACTCATTTTTCACAGGTTTACTCAGGTCCTTAGAAGGAAACCTTGGCAATACCCACTGATGCAAAAACAATTCCCTTTATCAACAAAGGGAGGGAAAAATGGGGACTCCTGAACACAAAGCTCATGCAAACAATAATAGCCCTTTTATTTTCCATTGTTAAACCAGCAGTTGATGCTAAATACTTCCTTCCAGCCCTCCACTTTGTTAACTATTTCTGTCACTCTTCTGCTCAATTTATGGGAGGGGATCTTAGTGTCTGGAGCTGGTTTTCTGCAATGTGCTGGTGACCACATGGCTGTGCAGTCTTTTGTGAAGAGGAAGGTTGAGCACGGTTTCCTTGTGCCATCCTGTACCTTTTGAAAAGTTCCACTTTTTTTCAAATATGAAGAAGATGGGGTGTTGTTTCTGCCAGCCTTTCTGGATAGTGGTCATCTGTAAAGCTCCTTGCTATCTCAGCAGTCTTACCAAGCCTGGTGACCTAACAGCAGTTCACAGCCTGTTCAGTGTCTGATGATTAATCCCCTCCCTTTAAAAGTATGCACTTAGTAGCAGAACCCCACGAAAATATTGGTGGAGCAGAGCTGTTTTGCCAAGTGGCAGATTTAGAGTTGTTCTTCTTGGAAAGCTGGCTTCCTGTCACTGGCTTTGTCTCATGGGCTTTTTTCCAGTGGTTTGGAGAGAGGAGAAAGGGAAAAAGAAATTGTTCCTCCAAAATACCTCTTCTCTTTTACATCCCTTTCCTCAATGTGTCCTCTCTGCTATTCTACATTTCAGGAACTCCATCAGCCAAAGTCATCCTGACTAAGTCCACTGCTATTCCTCATGCCAAAGAAGGAAGATCCCTGCAAAATAAGATCCCTTGAAAAAGAAGGTGCAGACAATCTTAATTTCCATCGTGTCTTCTCCTGATTCTTCAGAGGGCAGGCAGATGGAACAAAAATCTTCCTTGCACTGTGGAAGAGTGTTAGCTCAGAAAAGTCAAATCTGCTTCTTGTTGCAATATGAGAGTTCAGATCAAAGCATCAGTCTTTTGCCAATTTCTAATTAGCTGATAGGAACATGAAAATTTTATTTTTTATGATCTGAATACCACAGTGAACTCAGGCAGCTGCTCCTGGGCTAGCTACAAGACTGGAGCTTGGGGCTTCCTATTCTAAACACTGCCACCACTGGAAATGGAAAGCTTGGTCAGCAATGAGCAGCACAGGGCTGTGGCACACAGCTGAGTCTGCATGACAGCAAAGATCTTACTTTCCCTGGAGATAGCAGCATCCCCCTTCACTTTTAAAGTCTGTACAAGGACAAATCCAACACTGGGTTCTTTTCCCTGTTTCCTCTTGAGATGCTGGGTAAGGCCTCCAGACAGGACTCAGCAGCACCACATGCAATATCAGCCAGGTGAATAGAATGTGAGCAAAGCCCATGGCCTTTCTGGCACAGGGTCTGGAAGGACTAATGTTGCTGGTGCCTTCAAGGTCAGGACTTTGTGTGACCCCATGAAGATTCCCCACGTGCTCTCTGAAGAGTGAGGTGGGTTCTTTCTGGGAAGAAAAGCACAAAAAGTCAAGAAGTACCAAGAGTCGGTTAGAGAAGGTTAGAACAGGGGACACACTGGAGTGTCAGGCACCCATGGTCAAAGAGTTTGTGCGGCAGTTTTCCCTTTGGTGTCCATGTGTCAGTCTCTGGATCATAGCAGTCCAAGGAATCCAGGTCCTTGATGACATTGTCTGAGGTGAGACATCGTCCTCCTGTGACATACAGCTTGTTCTTGATGACAGTGGCCCCATGGTGCATTCGTCTGTCCTTCATGTCTGCACATTTAACAAACTTGTTGCCTTTTGTATCATAAGCAATTATTCTCCGGGTGTACCCTGAATACAAAGCCAGAGGTGGAAGAGACAGATGGGAATTAAGCTCTTATGGTCAGAAGAAGGAATAATAATGATGTATTTCATGCTGGTCTTCAATAAAACATATTATAGTAGTACATAATTTGGCAGAATTAAGATTTACAAACTAATAAGTGATGATGTGTCAGAGGAATGCCTGGCTGCCTATCTTCCTTTCCTGTCTGTACTCATCCTCTCTTGTAGCACCTTGGCAGCCAAGGCTTGATGAGCACCACAAAGCCCATGCATCAGGCAACCAATCTGTCAAACACAGCTTGCAGTTACCTGCACATGCCTTCAAACATCTGAAAACAGAGTCCTAGAGCTTCACTAGGAAATACAGAAACCAGTGGCACATGTGATGGCCTTGCTGGGTTGGAGCTGTAGCTGTCTGCTGACTGGAGCTGGGTATGCAACAGCATGGTGCCACCAGTGCTCACTCCACTCCTGAAGCCCTCAGCACCACATCTGTGCTGGCCGCCATGCCAGTGACCCAGTGGACAGCTCTTCCTCTCAGGGATGATATAACTTGTACCAGCTGAGAGGCAAGCGCTGGCGAGAGGGCCACTGCCCTGGAGCAGTGGGGGTGTGGAAGCTTGGTACCCAGCAGTACCTCGCCCGTGTGGACAAACATGAGTGTGGTCTGAGGTGAGGGCAATCTGCTTTCTAGGAGCCTAATAGTCTTGGACCTTTGGACTCAGCCCTCCCCACTGCAAAGGATAGCAGCGGCCTCTCCCTGAGGGGTGACACCACCTTGAAGTCCTGTGCAGTTTGGGTTCAAACCTCTGCTTTGCTAAAGATACTCTGTGCCTCATTTTCCCTTAAATAATTCAACACATGCTTTGTCCTGGCAGCCTGCAGTCAGGGAAGAGGCATTAAGGACTGCAGAGGGCCAAATTATCAATGACATGATACACCCGACTGCCACAGGCAGAGGCTGGTTCTCAGGTTGAAAAAGACACAGAGAAGTTTCCTCTTTCCAAGTGTTTCACACTGCTTTTGGGATATTTCATAATTACCCCCAGGAGGCAGCTAAAAGACCAACCAATACCTCACAGACCTACAGCCCATCCATCCTGACAAGCCATCCATGCCTTGTGGTAACCCTGCTTTCCATTCTTCCAAGTGGAGCAGACAGGGAGGACCAGGCTGTGAGTCAGGAGGGGAGGGTCAGGACCGCCATGCTCCTGGCTTCCTCCCAAGAGCAGTAACTTGCATTGGCTTTTCCTCAGTTTTCTCCATCTGGGTACTGCTCCCTGGGGTAAGAAAGTGCCTCATGGAGAACTTATCTCCACTTCAATTGCCATGAGGCTCCAGAAAATAAGTGTATGGAGGGTGGGCACACTCCTCCTTTCCTTCCCAAGATCCAGGTGTTTTTTGAGAGAGCACCCCAAACAGGAAGGCTGCAAAAACCCACAGAATCTGGGCAGGGGAGGGACAGGGAAGGTGAAACAGAGCCCTTACCACCTACGATGATAATCTGGTCTCCAATCACAACAGCTGGTGCACAGACATTCTTCACTACCCTAGTCTCCATACGAAACCACGTATTCCTGGAGACATGGTAAACCTGACAAAAAAAATAAAAATAAAGATATTCACACAGCTGTTTATGTTTCATTTTAACTGACATCTGTAATTACAGAGGAACTTCTGGGTTTTATTTTGCCCTAATAAATACAATTCTCTGGCTCAAACTGCTGGAAATCTGAGAATGTACCCACTTTTTTTCCCCTAATATTTCCCCTTGGAAAGCATTTTGGATCCTCAAGATTTTCTGCTCAGGAGATGCTAGCACATGCACTGAAGCAGTGTATCTGCCATATGAAGGCTTCTTGCACGGCCATTAGATCACTGTAACTAGTTCTCCCAAAGGGCAAGCTGATTCATTTCATTTTCAAGTTATCCTGTGTATTCCTTATTAGCCTTAGCAATTTCTTGGGCAAACAAACTTCAGCTTCAGCTAGCTCTGCTGGCAGCCACCCTGTTTGCCCAGCTGCTATCTATATGCTAGTGACTGGTATGCACTCAGACTGGCAAAGGGACTTAGAGTGGTATCTATCGATTTATGTGAGAAAAAGAGCTGTTGCCAGATGATGATCATTCAATCATCTGCATCGGGGTGACACAAACTTTTATGTCATGTTATCTGCTTCTTAATATAGCAAATATCACCAGGGCATCTCCCCACTAACTGATAAATACATTTCCTTCCCCCTGATAATGAAGTACCGTTATAAAGCATTGCTCATGCCCTGCTTGCCATCTTAGATAATGATCCTTCTTAGTTAAAGCACCTTGAACAGTGAAAAACAGTCATGGGAAAGAAACATTTCAATGCTGCTAAAGCTTCAAATCAGATAAGAAAAAACGTAATGTTTTTTTCCTCCTGATAGAGTGTAATGGCTGAAAGCAGGCAGAGAGCCAGCAACATGTGGCAGGAGCCACATTTTTAACACAACTGTTTATCCAAAATGACAGTCAGTTTCAGTTCTGGCCCTTTGATGAGTGAGTATCTAATCGCTCTAACGATGGCGAGTGTTTGCGTTTGCCGTGAGCGAGCAGGTGCGCGGCTGAGACCCAGCTCAGCGCCCAGTGGAAAGCACTGATTTTGGTGAGATTGGCTACAGGCATGGAGACAGTCAGGGGGAGATGCTGCTGCCTGCCCTAGCATCACCTGTGGCAGCCCTGGCCCTAGGGCCCACCAGTGGCAGGGCTGCCTGACACCCAAAGCAGTGCCTCTGGGGCTGCTGCAAAAAACATTCAGAAGGGGAAAATGGAAGAGCTGCAGTGCTCCTTGAGGCCATGGATCAACTCATTCTGCCTCTTGCTGCAACACACAGTGACGCTTTTTGAGTGGTTTGATTTCCTCATGAAGGTGATGGACTGCTGAATACCTTAGGAGAAATTGCCTATGACAAGCAGTGCTGACCATTACCTGGATGAGCCGAACAGGGTTTTGCATTATATCTTCTCCCCCAAAGAGGTAAACCCTCTGATCTTTGGCAGCAACAGCAGGGTGAAGGACGGCAACAGGCATGTTTGCCATGATCTCACAGGTGTTGTAGACACTATCATATCTTTCCACAGAATTCAGGATTTCCTGGTTTTCGCCAATTCCACCAAATGATAAAATATAATTTTTGTATGCCAGGCTTCTGTGGGAGTAACGTGGAACTAGCATGTGCTCAATCAACCTCCACTGATTGAGTTTGAGGGAGTAAATGTAAATATTACCACTGACCAGACTTTTCTTATTGCTAACAGGCATCCCTCCGAGCACAAAAATATTGCTGTGTAAACTCACTGCAGAGGCTTTGTAGAGGCGCATGGGAAGTTTGGCAAGGCTCAGCCATTGGTTCGTCTTGTCATCATAAAGCAGGACATCCCTCGTTGTCTGCTGGCTGTCCTTCCTGCCACCAATGATGATGAGGAACTCCTGGTTGGAGTACCTGCGAGGAACATGCATCATGGGTTTGATGTCAGGCGTGTTGGTGCTGTACAAGGAAAACATGTGTCTCCGGGCTGACTCCAGGATGCTCCTGCAAGTGGGTGAGGCCTGAACGAGTGAGTCATTAGCAATGAAATGGAACAGGAAAGTTGGATGGACGTACTGAAGCCGGACCTTCTTGAACAACTCTTGCATGTAGCCTTGTCGTGCCTGGAGGTCGTGCCGGATCCAGACCATTAGTGCTTCAAAGACCTGCTCCTCCTCCCCACAGAGTTCATCATCCCCCAGGTAATCTATGAGCTCCATGGGACAGAGGTCCTTCAGGTCCTCAGAAGAGGCCACCACAGGAAAATATTTCAAAGCCATAGCCTTGGCTTTCTTATTCAAGCTTTGGCAGTTCAAGATTTTTGCCAGTCTGATCATGCTCAGACAATTGTCAGGGGTCAGCTTGTCTTGGAGGTAGGTAGAGCAGGCCTCAAACAGCTTAGTGTACTGCAGCATGGACGCAGTCTCAAAGAGGCACAAGACATTCTCAGTGGATATTAGAATCTCTCCAGTGTAAACATAAAGGATAATCTGATCCAAAATATCAGCGTCGATGCCCTTTAGAATGACTTTAGGCTGGTGACTCTCCCTGAAGTTGTTACAGAACATTGCCTTGAAGTATGGGCTGCTGGAAGCCAGCACATTTCGGTGACAGGGGATTTCAAAGCCCCCGGAGCAGAGGGTAACATCGGTCAGCATCCTGCTCTGTCGCAGAGCATTCAGCTGCCTCAGCAGTTCAGAGGAGAAGTCCTGGTCTTTGAAGAGAAACTCTTCAGTGCATCCCTCTTCCATAGCAAAATACGAGAGAGATTAATTCTGGACTTGTCAGAAAAAAACCCCCAAATTCTTAGCAGCTTTTATTGAAAAATCCAGCTCCAAGGGAACAAATCAGGACTTTGATGTTGCTGTAAATATCCGTTCACTATTACACATAAAAAATGGAACATGGTTTAAGCACAGTGGGAAAATAATAAAAAAGCCAAAAGGTCGTTAAGACCCTTTAAAATAAAGTTATCAGATAGGTTGCAAGTCTGAGGTCAGCACTGCCTGTGTCGTTGGCAAGAAGCAAAAGCACTGAAGTTATCTCACTGATTTTGGATTAAAGCTGGAGGGCTGAAGCAATTGGTTTGTCCATTTCCATCATGTTGAATAAACGCCCTTAGACATTTATTCTCTATTTTAAAGTATTAGCAGTTTAGTAGCTTGTGCCTCTTTCCTCTAGAGTTAGTCACTCCCAAAGAATGCAAATCTGGCAGAGCTGAACTCTGCAGCAGGACGAACGGAACCCTAGAGGCTGGGAATCTGCATTAAAAGTTATTTATTAACTCTGCTTAGCTGTGGTTTTTTTTATGTTAATCAGACACACAATGACTAAATTAAATGCCAGGCAGAACAATATGATGAGTATCTACGGCCGTGGCTTAACTGCTCAGCCTGCAGTGGAACCGAAGGGTAGAAACGTTTACCTTCTGCTGTCCTTCACTGCATGCACTTACTCTCTGCCGTTTATTCTCTGCTGAGTTTTTCCACAGCTAGAGCCTGGACAAAAACCTACAGACCCACGGGAGGTTTCTCTCAGTAGGTAGGTGATTCACAGAGGGTGGCTCTGGCCGTGTTTGTGCCGCAGTGAGCGCGGGGCATTGTGTACATTCCACGCTAAGAATAGGCGGCAGCGCTCCGCGCTCTTATCGCATGTGACGCCGCCGCTGCCTTTTGCAATGACCTGGCTGGTTCTGAGCATGCCCGAGTGGTGTTTTTCTGGCAAATGTTTACATATAATAAATAGACACGGAGAGGAAAGTTCACTTATAAAAGTCCTGGCTGTCCGTTTGGAAACAGTGGCAGGACGCTGTCCTGAAGTGCCTGGGAACTCTAGAAGCCTGTAAACAGTCTGCAGTGCCTCGCTCTGCGCTGTCACCGGCGTTTCATGGGGAAAGGCGGAGAGAGAAGGGCTTCGAGGGACTCCTGGGATGGACCGTGTCTCCACCCTATGGAGAGATCTGGGGAGCATCAGCCTGCTGCAGTGTGGTGGGAGATGCACCGGGACCCCTGCAGCCAGCGCTGCTCCAAGGTGGGCAGGGAAAGCCCAGCGACCTTCACCAAGCAGAAAGTGAAGTACACTCTTGGAGCAGTTTATGATGCTGCTTGATGTTTCATATAGAAAACCAGGTTGTGGCCTTTTGTCTAAGGACCTCAGCTCTCTGAAACCCCTACCAAAGAACTTCTGAATCAGATGGCCTGAGGAAGCTCAGTGGTACAGGTGTTACTGGAGCAGGTTGCTGCAGTGAGTAGCAAGCTGGAAACCAAGATTCCAGAGTGGCAATTCCCAGGGTGGCACAGAGCTCCTCAGGGCACACACCTTGGTGGGGACCCTCACTGCAGATGGCTGCACATGAACAAGCTAAGCTCCTTTTGCAGGCAGAGAGGTCTGGTCAATACAACTGAGTCTACCAAGTAATTCAGGTCACCAGTATGTGCAACCTGTATTTGGGCAGGTGAACAGTCCTCCAGGCACTGCTGGGTGTCCACAGGTGCTCAGCTGCCTCAATCACAAGTAGCTGCCCATATTTAACACTCCCATCCATGGCATCTATGATGATGAGCCTAAATCAATCCTCAGAGCTGGGACCATTCAAACGCCTTGTGCCAAGGGAGGATCCTCCAGAACTCCAGCTGGTGCCCTGTCAGGGTCTTCAGCAGGTCAAGTGTGATGTGTCCCAGCTCTATACCAAGTTCCTGCCTGCTTCAAGAGAAATAGAACTGGCTGTCCTTGCCTGGGTAACTGAATTGGGCTCCTCATCTCTGCTGAGATTTCTTCCTGTGTTCTAGGAAGGGGTTGAATCCAAAATGTAGTTTCTAAGCATCCCTACAACAGGGAAACACAAGGTTAAAAGAAAAGTTCTTCTCATATTTTCAAGCTTACGGGTGAGTCATGTCTGCATTTAGTCACAGCGAGGCAGACGAGCAAAAATCCTTGGGAGCCACAGTGCCCTCGTGTCAACTCCTGTGCCATGCTGGTGTTTGCAGTCCTCCATGTGTTCCTGCCCCTGTGTCCATGGTGCAGCAGATCACAGGCATGTGGGCAACATGTTCCTCTAAAAATGGCAGCTTTGCATCATGGCCATGCTGTACACGGCCTTTCTGACATGGTGAAATGCCTGAAGGCAATCAAACCCCAGAAGGCCCAGCCCCATGTTAAAGACAGGGTGGAGTCAGGCTGGTGTAGCTTTTTGGAGGCTGCCCACACAATCTGTGTGTGTGCACACACGTGTGTGAGGCGAGCTGAGGGAGGGCAAGAGCAGGAGCCACTGGACTTGACTCTTGCAGATGAGTCACTTTGAGGGTAAACATGGCAATCTGCAGCATTTCCCCTCTTCTCAAGTAAAGAAATGACCCAAGAATGATGTTGGGGTGCTGGGGAAAATGTACCATCCTTCCCTACTCCTTGCCGCTGCTAACTCACCAGCTGGACATGATCTTGCTATAAATATTTAGAGTGGCATTAAAAACCCAAAGGAGACTTTTTTTTTTTCCTTGTCCAGGGAACATTAGCTACCCAAACAAAACGCCCTCTTGCTTTCTTTCTTGCTCTGCATGCATATGCTCTCATTGCAGTCCATTCTGATGATTGATTGTAGCTTTATATCTCTCTTCTGGCTCTAATTCCTTGTTGCCTGTTTAGTTCTGCCTCTTCCTGGCAGTGGCTGTGGATTACTCTCTTAACCCTTTAAGAAAAAAATAATGCCATCTGACTTCATTAATGACACCGGCTTATGGGGTTGGGGAAGGCTAGGTGGGATGTTCTTGTGCTTCAGACACTGATAAATGTGGCATTTATTTAGAAGATCCCAGGCTCCATGGCTTTGCACAGTTACGCAAATTCCTGCTAGCCCAGAGTACAGAGTGTGCTATTTAAATAGCTTATTGCTTTGGGGAGGGTGGTGATGCTTCTTGCTGAATCCCCACACAGGTCTCTGCCAATTTAGAGCCAGGGCTTCTGACAAATAAAGCTCCTGCTGCCTGCCTCACAACTCTCTTCATATTTTTTCCCAGAGATTATGGCTTCAGACATATCTACAACCAAGTGGGCACATCAGCACTGCTTAGTTAGGATTTTCTTTATAAATAGACTAGAAATCACTTTTCATGCCAAAGACAATAAGTCCTGTATGCCCCCCACTCTACGGTGGGGGGGGAGGGAAGGTGGGTTATGAGCCCTGTTGAGAGGGTAGAGCTGTTTCTGCTGTGGGACAGTCTAAATTGTCAGATAAAATCAGTTTCTAAATGAGCTCTTGAGGCAAGTTTTCTAGGGGAGTATGCTATTGACTGAACCAGACCTGAGTGGTCTTTCTTTTGGGAAGACAAAATTAGTGTATTACCATGAGAGTGAGATCTTGCACAGATAATGGTCTTGTCTGAACACAGAGGGGAAAGTGGCCTCATTCACAGGGTATGTGACCCAGCAGCACCTTGAGATGGGATGCTGCAGGTGCCCCATAGCCCTTGATGGGCTGGAGCTATTTGGGCTCTTGGAGCTATTTGAGCTATTAAAAACTGTGACCCTCTATAATTGCTGCTGTACAAACTCCATCTGTGGCCAATTTCTAGAAAATAGAAGCATCTACCAAAGAACAAGCATGTTTGTTGTAATGCTGTACACTCATCCTGCTCCTTCTGCTCTTTCTCCTTAAGTGTTTGGCATCATTCAGTTTTGGAATTGTGGTGATTGAACCTTTGATCTGACCCAGAGCAGCACTTCTTATATTTTAATGCAAGGGGATGATGAAATGTCATGCACTGAGCAACAGAGCAGAAAAAAAAGCTGTAATCTGACCAGCCAGCAGACAGGTGCACAGAGACTGGTGATGTCAGACAATTTCTAAAACTCATATACTGATCCTATTACAATTCAGGTGAAAATGAACAAATATGGATAAAGAAAAAGGACTGTTCAAGACAGAGACTTCACTGACATTATTTGGTGTTATGTGCACTGTCTCAGTGACCACCAGCCCCCACAGCAATCAAGAGACAGATCATCCCTTTAGCCAAATTTTCAGTCTAAACTGACAGGGGACAAGAAAAAATATTCCTTATTATGGTCTTAATAAAATTGGGAGAGGGAAGAAAACACAGTATTAACATTTCTCATTGTATGAAGAGACAATTCCAGGGATCATAATTAATCAGATGCCATGGAGAGGATGGGAAGATGCCTCAAGCAGCAGTGGTGGCTGGTTGGGATGACAGCTCAGCCTAGGCTGGGAGCATTAGCTTGCTCAGGGACTTGTTCAAATGAACTTTTGAAACCTTGAAGGATGCATATTTCACAACCTCTCTGGACAACCTGCTTTCATATGTCTGATAGGAATTTCTTTTGCTGCAATTTGTGAATGCTGTCTCTTGCCCACAGAAAAATCTGCTAATTTTCTTCTGCTGCTGCTGCTATTTGCCAGATATCTGATCTTCTTCCTATTAAGTCCAGATATCCTTATGGTCTTTCTCTCTTATTCTTCTGTAACTATTATGTTATTAATTTGCTATTTAGCTGCTCAACAAACACATTTTCCCTGAGTCCTATTCCCTGCCATTCACACTGATATGATACTTAATGCTGAACTAAGGCTTATTTTAAGAATCTGGGTTTGATTCTGATTTCATAGGCAAGGGCAACAGGGTACATCTATAGATACTGGTCTTGAACCCCTGACCTAAACTTATAAAGGCATGGGGACAAGTTTTACAGCATTGGAGTCACAGAGCAACTTCCCAAGAGTCACTGTTTGCATTGTGTACAGATAGAGAGATACAGCATGTAATTCAATAATGACTTTGGCCCAGTATACGTGGGTGTGAAGATGTGTGGGCTCCTGGCTTGGTTTCAGGACAATCTCTAATTAAAGAGTGAAAGATTAAGATGAAAGCAATTGCACTCTTCTTTAGTCAGAATGACCTACTAGTGTTAATTAAAACAGTCTTCAGGCAAAAATAAACTTGGCTGCCAAAGTTATGTGCTTCACATTAAATAAGGACATAGCTGGTTTAAAGAGTGCTGAGCTTCTAGAGGTTTCACAGAAACCACTCACATAGCTTTGGGCACTTTTGTTGGAATATTTCAAAACAAATCTTTTGCCTAAACCAGCTGCTTCATGTGTATTTCAGACACCCACTGGCTTTTTCTTCAAACTACATCATTTGAGAATGGGTACCTTATCTTGGTGTGAGCATACAGTGTGCTGGAGGATAAAATATCACCCTATCATTGGACACCAAAGTATCTTCATCTATCTTTTCTATAGTCTCTGGTTACAGACCCATGGCAACAGCAACAAGAAGATACTTAGAGCCTACATTGCTCTGTTCTTGCTGGGTCTGAACATTAAAATGCCCACACAAAGTCATTTAGGTATTCAGGATCTGCCCCTGATATTTTTAGCTAGCTAGAAGTGTTCCTAAAGAAGGATCAGGCCTTTAAAATGCCACAACTTCCTATTACACCTGTGTGAGACACCAATCATTGTCCTTAAAAGCCACACATCTTTACCATGTCTCATTTATACTGTCCCATCTTATAACTAGATGGCCAGGAGCTACTGCTGTGACATTGATTCAAGAGGGGAGAAGCAGGT